TCACAGACATGCAGCTGTGACAGTATATGATCGTAGTTTCATAAACCGCCCAGGAATCCATAGTAAAACAGGTGGACATGAGTCTTGCATGACAAATCTGACTTGAAAAAGTAGTTTTGTGATGATTAACCCAAATCTCCCAAATAGAACGACTGGCTTATGTACTCCATAGTGCTTTAATTACCAGGTACATTGTGGAACAGGGGTGCGACAGACTTACCTTCATGTGGTGCACCCCGGGCAACGTATTCTTATACGGTAAAAAAGTCTATAAACCGGCAGTTGATTTCTGACTTCAAATTGCCATGACCCTTTGTATGTCATATTCGACCACTTCCACCGTACTAATCTTACCCTTTCTAAGGCATTGTGTCTGTCTGTCTCTTTAACATCTTTGTATCACTCCTCCGTTCCTCCTCTCCACTTTTTCTCACTTTGATGTTCCTCCTTCCCTCTGTGAAGGCCGAAGTCAGGTAAAGGGCTAATGATGAGTGTCATAAAGCCCGCCATTTGAAATAAACATTATGGAACAAGTAAGATTTTGAAGAATTAACCTTCGAAAATAAAAGCAGTTATATCAGTCTCCCGTCTAGTGAAGTGTTTTCAACTCCTCTTCAGCAATCGCAACCCGACGACCCAAATATAAACTTGAAATCTTCAACTTAACCCTTCGGCAGTCCCCGAAAAATATCACAGTAGGAGAGCTGTGTTTTTCCTTGCCTTAATTAAGTATAGGTTAATAAATGAATCTCTCCCCACGTCTCGAGAAGCCGACTAGTAAAGATAGAGATGAAGAACTTACTCTAATGGAAATATCCCCAATAGTCGCATGGATGACTTCACGCAATGCAGACTGCAGAAAGCTTTGAAGTACTTCATCTGCGATCTCTTCCACAATGGAGGAGCAGAGGGAAAGACGTTGGCCAATTTCCTCACTGCAAATCTGCAAAATAAATCCGAATCGATTCGTAAGAGGGAAGAAAAAAGTGGATGAACAAATTACTAATGGCTGGACTCAACCACCCAAGATTGACGTTCTGGAAAACAAAGACCACTACCCAAATCAAAGTCCTACTCTTGGGTTACCTCAACACACATTCAATCTCTGAATTTCTAAATTTTTACAAATTGGGACATGCGACTAAGCTGTTCTGAGATTAAACTTTAGCTATCATAAGCCGTACGGTAATACCATGAACATCCCAGTTAACAGTATGAGGTTCTAATCCGATTTCAGCGACATTCAAAATTTTACCTTTTCATATTAACTAACAAAATATAGATCAATGACTAACCTGACGCGTCAGCTGGTGAGCGGTTTCATCAATTAGATCCTCTGTAACACTATCCACTGTCTCGGTTATGATGGCACAATCAGTAAAAGAGAAAGAGGATTTATGGACAATGTTTCCTTCTGATGCTTTGTAATCACTCTCAACGTCAATAACCTCAGTTGACGAAGGAACGATTGGAGGTTTGGTAATATCGGAGGTAGTCGAAAATGGAGAGTGCCACTGAAAAGTTGGTCGAGAAAATTGAACCGGTGATGGTTGAGGATCATCTTCTATGAAAATAGAATAGAGATAAATCCTCTCACATGCTGAGATCCATTTGATAGTATTGTAAACAAACGTTAGTATTTGATATCGAGATTTGAATGGGGAGACACAAACATTACGTGATTAAGGGGAAACTGAAAATTCCATTAATTGATGTACTTTTATAGTCTACTTCAAACTCACCAAGGTAAATGCCAACTTGTTTAGAACACGAAGAAGTGTTGGAAATAAGACAGACCATTTCACCGAAGGGCATTTAGTGGAATTGAATATCCGAATTGTCTCTAATACACCACTCCTTAACTTTAAGAACGAGATAAAGAACCATTGAATAACGTATGACATGTATGTCAAGAGATAGTAAGTAGAATCTAAACAGAAACGCTCATTTTGATGATTATGCGTCCCCATGCCCCACACAAGCGTTAAGTGAGCAGGTAAAGGTATGATATTTCTTCATAAAAGGACGGGGGTGGGTTGAGAAATTGTATCATCACCTACCTTGCGACCCATTTTCCTCATCACAGTTATCCACAAATTGGTATCCATCAGCACCTTCATTCTCCTGCCCTTCCTCTACAGACAAGTCAATCACCTCCTTTTCATTGTCATTACTCGCATCATTAGAATGTACGATTGGTGAATTGGTTTTGTTGGAGGATGGACAGAACGGAGACTGTTGGATCACTTGAATAGGAAGCAAATTTCCATCAACATCGAAGGAAGAGTGGACAGGCTCTGGTTTTTCGAAGGCAGAATCTAGTTGTCCACCATTGAAGAGATCACAAAGACTACGGCCTTTCCGTTTGCCTTCAATTAGCTACAAAACCCAAACAAGCACGCTTAACTTCATCAATCAATTGAAATATGGCATCATTTGCGAAGATTCATTTGCACCTAAGTGATATATCGATTTAAAAACAAGAGGATGACCCACTCCCAAATGTCTGATCGATCGGCTCATGCCCCGAGCGAAATATCTAACAGTCTTCCTGTTTTACGTTAAACCCCTTTTTCCTGATACGAGAGCGTACTAACAACGAGCAATCCTATTCAGGAAGGCGTGTGACGATAATTTTCTTGAATAGAGGGTAGCATCAAGGAGTTTTGCTCGTACGGAAATCGTAGTCTGCCACTCACATTGTTGACCGAAATTCGGCAGTGCCATTGGCCATTCCTTCCACCAGGTGTCTATTAAGACGCAGCGCATTCATGACCACTGTCTTGATAAACGAGTAAACCACCACCACCACCACCACCCCACCACCAGAAGGTGCTAGATTTTTCGTTTGCTGTGCAAAAGTAGAGAGCCTTTTTTAAGAGGCGAACTATGCAATTCAATTTAACGATCAACTTCAACACAGTGCCAGGGTGTGCAAAACAAAGATATATATAGTTGCTTAAGTGAAGGCTATTATTGATCTACCCAATTTAAATTTGCAATGACCAGTAATGGGTATTAGCTAAGTGCTAATAGGTCTTGTGATGTTACTCTATAAGACCAAACAGAATGCCATCCTCCCAATCGCTACCAAGTTCTCGAGAGAGAGAAGCTTCTTCAACCCGAAAACAAACAACCTAGGGCCAATAAGAAAGCACCATCGCATGTTACCAAATTTGAGCTGAACAAAAGTCCAAATTTCTCCAGCCTCACTCATGGTTGACTCGAAATACTCGGATCATCTAAGTGACTACACTTCAATTTCGTCTCTCACCATCTCTCTCTCTGCATTGGAGTTAACTACAGGTTGTGACATCTAGTAGACATATAGGTAAAAACGATAGAAGACCAGACTGTCTGATGGTAAAACAACTTAGGGGGATCTTAGTTAGCAAGAAATGGACATTAAATAAGGGAGACGACATACCTTAGGAGACCGTCTTTCCTTCCAAGCGAGTTCTGGCTCACGGGGAGGTGAGTTTCGAGAGAAAACTACCACCTCGTTGGAGACAAAAACACCCCAGTGCTCGCAGAATTCTTGTGCATCTTCGGACGATTCAAAGCCGAGTTGGTGCACGAATTTGAACAGCGGATACTGCAAAAAAGGAGGTTAAGTAGCTGAATTAAGAAAAAACGTTGACACCCTGCCCCAGAATCAACTCCAATATATAGGGGTCAAAGGAATTAATTCTGATTTTCCGCATCTCAGCGTTAGTCATTGTGAATCGAGCTGCTACCTGATGACTGCGGTTTATTCTGTCATCGAACAGTAGAACGTAATGTAGAAATAGACACTGCGCCTCAGTAACGGTCGATATGTGGGAATAAGGGTAGGGGGGGGGGGCTTGAAATAAGGGCTGAGAATGTAAAATAAAGAAGTGGCATTTTTTACCTGTGTATTAAGAACTACTCAAGAGGACCCGCTCTTATTTGATAATATCTAAGTATATGTTAGGCTGATTACAATTATCCGGATAGATAAGGGGGGGGGGAGTCAGTTGCACTCAAATCAACTCTTCTTCTGACTAACCAAGTAATTCATTTACCCAATATCTATATTTTTTAGTAAAGAGGGTACTATTTTAATGGAGGTCATAAGAGGGCGTAGTTAAGTCACAAGCGAACTGTCTTCTTCCTTTGGATCTAAATGAGGTGCTAGAACCAAGACACACTCACTCAAGTTTTAATGACACATTAAGGTGATCATGTAAAATGAAAGTAAAAGAAGAAATGGGTTGCTTACAATGACTTCATGCCTAGGATGTCCGAGGAATGCGGAGGAGAGGGCAAGGAGAGCATGTGACCGGACTTGTCCGAAGTACCGGTGGAGAAGACACGCTGTGAGACAGTTAGCTTGACGAATTAAACGGAAGAAACGGACGTGATTGCGCTCGGCCACCGCGGAGTGCACGGAAATAGCAAACTGCACCTCAGGTGATTTGCGCACTGCCTCGGGGAACTTCTGAACTTCACTACAGAGGTAGACAGACATATGGCTATGGCTATTTGTAGAACCAATCTGAGAGCAAGCAAAAAAGACCCAATCAGTGTACTGTGGCCTAACGTGGTTTGCACGCTTGATCACACACCAATCACGTCTGGGTTTTGTTGCCGTGACGTTCATGCTTTATTTTTACTCAGAAACGAGAACAAGTATAAATAATTCCCAGGGCAAAATTTTTAATTTCACTGAGACAAGGGAGATTGAAGTAGTGATCAAGACTAACAACACCAGACACAAACACACACCCCGATTAAACATGCCATGGTGATAATAATTGATTTCTCTACACATAATCTGAAGTTTGGTTTCGTAAATTTGTAGAACTGATGAATCAAATCCATTTAAATTGGTGTGATACGGATTTTTGACTAAGAAAATTAACAACCATTTCCAAATAGCTTATCGATTGGTTTTCAGGACAATAGAATAAACGAGAAACTATTAATCCATACCGATTATTTGTGACATGCATTCAGTTATAGGGATGTAGTATGAGATTGATGCTTGATATAAACACCAATAAGACGGAAACCAAGGAACAAAGACTAGAAACTTACTCCAAGACTGAACACTCATTGAGTTTCATGAGAATCATGTAGGCCCGAAATTCGGCCTCACGGGGACACAATTTCACCATCGCGTTGCTTCCTGCAGAACTTTGAATATCTGAATAAAGCTCCTTCAGGGTCTGCAAGCACTGAGTAAGGTTCTCCGAATTAATGCGAGGATCAAAAGCATCCAATGACTGATCAACAAGACGTGCAGCGCAGAAGATGTGGAATCGAGTGATCTTTTCCACAATAGACACGATGGTGGGTGAACACAGACGCTGCTGAGTGATGTCCTTGCGAATAGCTCGCGTTCGTGTCCAGAGGAATTCGTACCTAAAAATGAAAGAACCGAACTGATTAACATCAGTCAAGAGAGTGGGAAAGTTCGAGTACCTCAAACGCGGGACACGTCCGGCCATAACAAGTGACAGAAAACACAACAGAATGTCCCATTTTCATGTTTTGAGACTAATGTGGTCAAACCGTCATTTATCAGAATGATATGCTTAGTTTCGAAGTTGACAGACTATCTTTGAGAAGCATGGCCAATATCGAAGAATACAGAGGTAAAATCTTAAAAAAACGCTAAAAAGTAGCAAAAAATTATCAAACAATGTTCTTCAATCCATGAACTGAATAGTGATCAAGGAAATATAGTAAATTCTATAAGCCGCATTTCTTTCAGATTGCATTAAAGGAAATAAAGTTATGTAACCGACTTTAGGACTTTATAGTCAGTGAGCTTAAAAAGAAAGGAGACTTTGACTACATACCATACATCAACGAACTGAGGCAAAGTAACTCTTACGTAAACTGAAATGTATAATAGTGTGATTAACTGAATACACACCAACAGAAGAAGTTAATTAAAGAAGTTTGGAAATAAGATTAATAAGCCTTATTCGACTTTATTTCCCTTACAAAACAGTAAATAAGGGGTTACTTTAAGTAAATACATAAGACCAAAAGTGGCATTAAAAAGTGCCCTTCAGGTTAAAATAAAAGGTCTGTTTCAAGGAAAAGTGGAACAAACCATGGCTTCCAAAGATTTTCGCCGCCTTCCTTTTCCGGCCTATCCGCAATAGCTGCTAGAAGATAGTTCATAGTGCGATCGAGGACTTCAGGAGGTCTCAATTCCCAAGGTAACGGCTCAGCCTGATCTGCAGCCGACCGGCTGTAATCCTTCACAGCACGGGTATGATCCATTTGAAAGAAAGCACCAGATCCCGAATTAGCCTCATTCTGAGGAGTCTCGAACAAAGAAACTCGATGTCGAAACTCACGAAGATACCTAGGTGAGAAGAAGCATATGAATAACTATTCAAACACATGATACTACTCATCGGTTTAAATTATGGATGGAATAGACCACACAGACTGGAATCGGCCTTAACAACTAATGAAGCACTTTTTTCTGATACACATAGGCCACTCAATTTCTGTTTCAACCGCATAAATGATGGAAAACGTAAAAAGAAGTTCAATGGGAAGACTAGTAAAAATGTTATCATAACGTTACTCAAGAACACTAAGTAGCAATGGTTAAGATTCAACGCAGGTTCATACACAGAATTATAATCAGGTCTTTAACAGATTTCAATTAAAAGAAACATGAAAAGAAGACATATCATCGGAGGTTTCATTTAAAATTTAAATTTAGCTGTTTGAAACTATATTATAGGGCATGTAAGCTTGAGTTTCAAATAAAAATTATTATCGGTCTTCACATATACCAGATATCTACTCATGTAATGATACACTATCCTAAACCTGAACATGGTATCTCTCAACTTTGTAACGTGTTAATGACTTCTCACGCTCTTGAATAGTTGAAATTTTAAAGAAATTTGAAGGGAGACACCATTTAATCGCCTTTTAATATAGATAAAGGAAGGAAACATTTGAAAAAAGTCAACAGAAGAAACAATAAAGATGACAGATATTATTGCTTCAAATAGCAGGCTTTATTATATTTATCATTAGCCCCTTAGATCACTTCAAAAAATTTGAAGACAAATGTCGAGTTATAGACTTTTTTGCCCAGGGTGCACACCACATGGAGGTAAGTCTATCGCGCACCCAAAATGACAGATATCGAAATCCGACTTATGAGCGATAACTCTAAAAATTGGGAAGTTTTAAGGTGATAAATCATGATGTAAGATAATTTTACGGCTACTTGGATGAGCACTAAAGAAGTTTTATGAATGTAATACAGTCAACTAGAAGCAATGAACATCGAATACTTATAAAACAGACTATATTATAATAAAATTGCACTTTAAATAATAATCAAAAAACAATTCAACAAATCTGTGGCTCTTACAATGTTACTCACCTTTCAGTTTCTGGACACATATCAGGGCAATTTCCAATAGTGACTTGTTTGAATTTTGAGGCATCGTTTGATGGGTTGATGGGAAGAGAAACGGCCTGTCTACGTTTATGCTCAGCCTTGTCCTTCGCTTCTAAGATGGTCAAACGTTGTTGTATTGTTGTGGCCCTTTCGTGTGTGCTTTCGTCACTCTAAAGCATTCAACGGATAATAGAAGCCCCAGAAAGAGACTACAGGATAGCAGTAAATTCGCAAGCAGCTTACGCTGGTGAAAGAAGGCACGGAAGACGACTTTTTAATGGAAGAAAATGGAGGATTTGCCTTCTGTTGTAAGTATGACTGGTCAAACAAAACATGAGCACCCTTTTTAGCGTTTAAATCACTTCCACTTAAAAGTTGTTTTTGAGATACCATTGATCCAGTTCCAGAGGGGTTATAACAAGTTGAGGAAGACTGCGATTTATTTTGGGGTGTTTTGTCAAATCCAATGAAGAGGTTAGTCGATGGAGCAATATTTTTAACTGACGAATTTTCCGATCTAGCAAATCCGGAAAAGAAATCACCCTTCGATGCATTATTAATTGATGAATGAGAAGGTAAATATGAAAATAAGGCACTTTTCCCCGATTCATTGTTAGATTCTGGCAAAAGCTGAAAAGAGGATGGTTGGTCGTCAGATGCATTATCGGAAGTCAAGTCAATTGCGTAAGATTCTGAGTCTTCAATTTCAAATTTAGGTTCTTCTAGTGAAATTGTTTGACCCGACTTTCCAGTTGAATCGCGAGTGGACAATCCAAATAGTCCATTTGGCGCGGCAGATAAGTTAGAGGACGCGAACAGACCTCCTGTTGAGGAATTTTCGGATATGTTGTTGAAAAGCCCAACGCGTTCATTTTTTACTGCTATAAATTAGCACAAACATTGAATTATACTCTAATTAAGACCAGCTTTATATAATGAGATAAACCATATCCCCAATTCGAATACTTTATCGATAATAATAGATAAGAAGATGGAAATCATCTTAATAATAATTTTAAAAACACGTACTTTCAGAAAATAAATTGGGTTTTGGAAATGAAGAACTTTGCGATCCAAAGCCACTGAACAAGCCATTATCCATCCTTGAGCTAAATAGTGTTAGGCTAAAAGTTGAACCTTAAGACTAAACTGAATGAAGGCAAATCAAACTAAGTATTCTTGCTTAAGAAAACTCAACATGAACGGTAAAAAACAAACTATTCTTAAGATTTAAATTCTCATAATATTTAAAAGTGAAAAAATGATTAAAATGTTAACTATCGTGTTATTATGTCAGAATTTGGGTCGAAGTTGTATTAAAAGACTATCCTAATTTGAATACCTTGTCAATGTCACATTTTATTACATTATTCTTACTAATTTATAAATGACATCCTGTTTTGCTATTTGCTAAGTAAAATAAATATATTAAGATAGAAATGAAGATTAAATGGAAGCAGTAGGCTTGGCGGTTCAACGATAGTTAGTTTATAATCTCAGTTAACCCTTTAATTCAAACCACTCAAAATTTTTTGTCTTCCCGAAAGATGAAAATCATGAGCTTAAAAGTTTTTTTGCTTTTCTTCTGAGGTTGTGCTTTGCTGACCCAAGATATTTTAATGAATCTTCGTCAATTTTATGGTGGATAAATTTTACACAGACCTCATACACAATAGTTCGTAAAGCTATTATTTCATTAATAAATGGATTACATATGTGATTTGGCTGAATGCATGAAAAACCTGTGGCTACGTTCACCCGGATACTTAAAATGGAAACTCTGATTCTAACTTCAGTGATATGAAAGATCAGAGGCACGTATTAAAAATAATTTTAACGTGTTCATATGTTAATTAGGTTTGATTTTGAGCTATTTTTAAATCGAAGAAACAGATTGTAAAATTTCTGTAAAGTATTCTTAAACAATGAGTGCTTGGTTATCAAATATTTCCCAATTCGGATAAACCACTGCTCTGTTTGCAATGAATTAGCGAGCTATGTGGATGTTATTGTTCTCGACAGCCAACGCAAGATGTATTAAACCAAAGTTGTCAGTTTTTTCTAAAGGACAATTATGAAAACGAGGCTATTACCATATATAGTTATCTGCTCATATACGTGCGTATTTTTTATTGAACATTTTGAACTATTTCAGGGCTCCTTATTTGTAAAAGGGGCCTCACTATTACCTAAAGGCGCTTTTGTTCAATTTCCTTCTCATAAAACTATTTAGTAATTTCATGGCTATTGTAAATATGTTGCTTATTACTAATTTTGAAACCATTAATATTTACCAATTTAATCAATAACTTATGCTGCAAACTAGTTAGCATCATTCACAGTATTAGACTTCTATGAATGCCTATTTCCAACCGTCAAATTTTAATAAAATTCGTATCTTACTGGACATTGTTAGATGCGAGCGAAGACACAGATAACCCACTCAAGCTAAAACTCAAAAAACATTAGCAATGAAGTATCTAAGACTGCTTTGAAAAATATGAAACACTGCAAGCATGTTAACCAAAAAGGCTACTTTCCACTTTTATTTTAGAGATCAAAATTTATAATGGTGAAGTTGGCCAAAGTATTTAAAATTTAGTCCTTTCACTAAAATTCTCATTCAGCTTTAAATTTAATTTTACCTAGGTTCAATTTTATTAAAAATGCCAGGTTATAAATTAATTCAATAAAGAAATATTTTATTTAAACCAAATGAAGAATTTTATCGATTAATACATTGTGCGCCAATACAATCAGAAGACATTAAAAGCTCTTTGCGTCATTAATGCCATTAATCTTTACATGTGCCAGGCCTCCCATTGGTGTGTTATTGCCCTGTCTATCAAAGATAGCTTATTTAGATATTCTGCAAAAGTTGCTACCACTTTGTATCTTGCTTACTTGAAGTTCAGACTAGGCATAAGTAAGAAAATACTTACGATCTTTCAATCAATTTCGATTTATTGTAGCTCTATTAAGATGGCTTGTAAACTTCCAATATTAGCAGCTGACGGACCATTCATATTTCGTCAACTTTTTGAAAAGGCCTCCTCAACTTTCACTTACCTTATCGGGGATACCAAATCTAAACAAGGCCTTCTAATTGATCCAGTTCTTGAGACAGCTGAACGTGACGCAAAGTTGGTAAGTCATAGTAAATTTGTTAAGTTTTAATAAGGTTCTTATTTTACATACATTACATACGTTTCCCAATAAAAGACTCCTGTCTAACACAATGAATAGCAAGTTTATCCCTCAAAATATTTTATGAATCTGATTTATTCCTTTGATATTAATTACTGTCTTTGCTTAGAAGGCTGAGAAAATTTGAGTAAAAGACCGAAACAAGAATCCAATTCTACTACAACTCTTACTGGAAGGTGAGGAGGTTGAGATCATGATATGATAACAATCATTCCCTAAGATTCTTGGCGGTGTTTGTTTAAAGTTCCATTTCTTGTTTCCCCAAAAATGAGTTTAGAGTTTAGGTTATTTGGTGTTTTAGGCTAGATTAATTAAAAACTGCATTATTCAATAGCTTCACTAAATGCTCGACAACTTAATCTCCGAAAGTTAATTTGCCTTTTGATCACGATAGATAAGCCTGAAGCGACTAATACTCAAGGAAACAATGCATTTTCTCCAGTTCACATGAAGTGAAGTGGATACATGAAATCGGATTTCATGATTAAGCCAATGGGTAAAAGGCGGTATGTGCACTAGGTGAGGTAGGCTAGTGAAAAGTCAAGTTGATACATGAACTGAACAAGTCGTTAACGAGGAAAGAAATTAGTAAACAAAGCATAAAATTAGTTGACTGAATCAAAATGTGAATGACACACATAATCGGTTTATATTCTGGTGGCGTTATTAACACTACCTTCGAAGGAAATATATTTCAAAGTTGTTAATTAGATCGCCAGAAAAAATAGGTTCATATTTCGAATATGGTTGATTTAGGTCAACTAAAGGAATACGAAATATTTATTAGATTTAATAAAGAATGACAATTTATTGGATGAAACGGATGTGGTTATTTTGAATTTCTAAATTTTGAAGAGTGTATAATCAAAATGGTGCTAAGCTTACCTTTTCCGGAAAACTTGGAGGGGTGTGTAGTACCTGCGCACAGTGTCCCTTACGTCTACTTAATGTTTGCTCGTGCCTTTACTTTAACTGTCAAAGAACGAGGAACTCGAAGTCGACCAACCTCATTCCCCCTGTTTTCCACAGTTCAGAGTGCCCTAACTTAGTTCCTACACTTTCCTTCCAATTTCTTCTGAACGGTTTCCCAGCCAAACTCTAGGTCTTCTCAGTCGTTGGAGGCCGTTTTTAACGTTGGCCTTAGGAAGTCTGTGGAGGGTAAGGGGGGAGGCTTTCTAGCCTAGTATTGTTCGGCTCCAAAAAGACTTCACTTTGGATTGTGACTTCTATTGGTCTTTGAAGGTCATTAGTGGACCTTGGTCTTAAATAATATGCCTTTCCTTCTCAGTAAGATAGTGTAAAATGACAATGCAGTGAATAGAAGATCATGACAGCCCCAAAGGTTTGTGCTTGTTTTTGATGTAATATTTTTCCATATGGCTCAATGAATCATGATATTATACCAGCTTTGCATCACTTTAGGTGGGATTTGAATTTATTTGATTTTAGGTAAATGAATTGGGCTTGGAATTGCGGTATGTGATAGACACACATGTGCACGCAGACCATGTAACTGGAGCAGGGACACTGAAGAAGCTATTTGGTTCCACCTGCAAGAGTGTTATTTCAGAGGCTTCTGGGGTACAAGCTGACATCATGGTCAAGGCCGCTGAAGTCCTGAAATGCGGGAATATTGAGCTTGAGTGTCGAAGTACACCAGGTATGCACATTTTACTATTACTACCTAGCCTCGTGTGTTTATTACAAGGTGGACTCTACCTGAGGGGTTATATGTGAAGTTGATTGATGAAAATTAATTAATTAATGGCCTCTAAGTGCCATAAATTTCGTCATCTCAAGATAGGGTGCATACGAAGACTAGCAGTATAATCAGGCAGAAAAAATGATAATTATTAGTGAATTAAATTATACCATGTCGATCATTAGTAAGGGTGTGTGGTTTCATCGCGATTCCACTTCAAGAAAATTGGCATCTGGAAGTTCATTTATCAGTTAAGCTTAACCAATGCACTTGGCCATTGCACTCACTGAGTGTGCACTCGTGACCTCAGATTTTGCAGACGATCACATTAACCCCCTGTTTAACCAACGCCATGAAGTACTGTTAAGTTGCAATGTTAAAACCTCATAATAAAATTGCATATACGAATTCATAATCCTAAGAAATTTGAGATCCGGAACGAATAATGTTGACCCTATAGATAGACATTTTGCAAACAGTTCGCTTCTTTGACTAATCATTTCAAACATTGTTCGATCAAAGGCAATGATATGATTTAGCTTCTAGGTTTTTAAGACTTTTGCCCGAAATTACTCACCTTCCTCTTTCCTAAGTTCGCATCAACTGGATAACATATCCTCACCAGATAAAAGAAATGAGATTCGAAAATGGAATTCAATAAAGGTTGTTCCGAAATCTCTGAAGGATAAGGTAGTCTAATGGAGCTCTCAGTTAAACTATGACTTTAACATTCAAAATTTTTACCACAACGATAAACTGTCTGGCGCATCTTACGAGTGATGTTAATTTTGAAACTTACGAATTTGACATGCGAACATTCTCTGCCACATCCCAGAACGGAACACTTCACTGAATTGTTCTCTATGGCAATTAATTAAAAGAAGAGTTAAAATAATGGGTGGTAATCTACCATAGGCATATGGAAAACTCGACTAAATGAATTAGAATTCACTGCGGTGACTTTTATAACACCCCCAGGTCATACACGCGGGTGCTTCACTTATGTTTTACACTCTGCTCGAAGCGCATTTACGGGAGATGCACTGCTAATTCGGGGATGTGGAAGAACAGATTTTCAGGAGGGTTCATCAGAACAACTCTATGAATCCGTGCATTCACAAATCCTCTCTCTACCCGAGGACTACCTCCTCTTCCCTGGTCATGAATATTTAGGTCGTATGATGACAACAGTGGCGGAAGAAAGGAAATTTAATCCAAGGTTTGAAAGCTAACTTAGTCATTTCTAATTTAGAAATCATACACCCTCTTATTATCTTGAATTAAAATTTATTCGTTAATTAAATAAGTGATATTCAATTTCAGATTAACAAAATCATCCGAGGAGTTTGTTGAAATAATGAAGAATTTGAATCTGGCCTATCCCAAGCAGATTGATAGGGCGGTTCCTTTAAATCTTAAAGGTGGGGTTATCGAATAAAATGGACTCCGCACTTGTAATCTCTCTTTCATACTTATTCGAACTATATTTAATATAAAAGCCTTAGTTGTCACGTTTGCCGATTGTCTATTTTTTATCAAGGTCGGTTTTCAGCATATTGCTTTTTTCCTCTTGTTCGTTTCATTTTGTTACATTTATTTATATCAAATGGCAGGCGTTTTGATGATTTTCATTAGCCCTTTAGTTGACTTCAGGCTTCACAGAGGGGAAGGAACATCAAAGTGACAAAAAGTCGAGAGGAGGGGAACTGAAGAGTTTTTCAACGACGAAGGTTGAAAATTTAGAAAAAATGTGATGTAGTACTGTATTGAAAATTTAGAAAAAATGTGATGTAGTACTGTGGAAGTAGTCGAATATGTCGTACAGTGGGGTCATGGTAGTTTGAAGCCAACTGCCGATTAATAGACTTTTTTGACGTATGAGTATACGTTGCCCAGGGTGCACCACGTGGAGGTAAGTCTATCGCACACCCCTCATTTCGTTACATAATCTCCTGCTTTTCGCTTTCCTCCTTCCTTCTATCGCCAACTATCTGCTCCTCTTAATCAAGTTTCTCTTTCTCCTTTGAAAATACTTTTTTTAATTGAACACACTCTCGCTTGCCTTGTCACCGCTTTTGCATTTCGTAGACTCAATGAAGGACAATAACTCCTTTAAATGTTGTATTTGCCTTTACGCCTCCGCAAGGTCATCAATCCAGACACGGAGAATGAACTTGTTCAAAAGTGGAACGCAGGTGGCAAGTACCCGGTTTTTTCGTATATCTACAAACCCTTTTTAATGAATGCAAGGAACTACCCATTATTGAAGATTTGCAGAAGGAAGAGCTGTCGAAATATAGACTAGGACAAGAAGTGACATGCATAGTTTGCTCATGAACGAACTCTAAAAAATTGATTTGAAAAAAACAAATAATCCGGGCATTCTTATATTGTAGAGGAGAAAGAATGAGTACTCATCTAGAAGAAATAAATGTTCGGAAATGATCAACGAACTGCTTTACCTGAACCTAGCGAATAGGAGTTCGGAGATATGGGAATTTAAGAAATGCAACATTTGGTCATGGAAAGTTTGGTGAATCTGTAATTCAAACGGAAAAGAACTTTTGTGCGATCAGTTATTTATGATCAGATACTTCCTCTTTCTTATGCATATAAATACTCGAGGAGTTGTCTTAGATGAAAAACTTCGTTTCAGAAATAATTTAACATATGTCAACTATGCTACAGGCTTGCATGATTCATCAGATTTATTATTAGTAGACTAAAATGATCATTCAGCTTGAACCTGCAGCGGAATCCACTCAGGGGCTTTAGTCTCAATTAATCTGCGATCTTTATAAGTGTACAGTGCAAATCTTTTTTTCATTGAGGCTGGTCCTCCAGTTCCGCATATCAACCAATCAGCTTTCTTTTAAGTTTTCATTCATGGTTTCTGGTTCTACCCAATGAATCTCGTAAGTCACAGTTCCATCTCTCCGTCTTGTTGTGTCATAGGCGAGACAGACCTCATTTGCAATCACCTCTGAAATTCTTATCAATCCTTCCCTGCAATACCTCCTCAGTGATAACGTTTATATTATTTCGTTTCTTTTTCTACAAGTAGGGTTTTATTATTTCAGGTATGAATTGGGTTTTTTTATTTAATTTCCGAAGGAATAAAGGCCCTAAATATCAATTTGAATGATCAGATAATTCTTTTAAAAATGTACGGAAAAAAACAATTAGCAACCCGACGACAACAATGATATTCAAAAACTCTTCTGAAAATCATTGTTTGGTTGGGAGTGGTGGGAGAGGGTGTGCGGAAGAGGACAAATGGGAATAAATCGCAACTAAAAAAGAAACAAGAGAAAAACAAGCAAAATACAGATATAGAAGAGGTATCATTCCATTTGAATTCTGAAAGTGAAGTATTTCAATCCTTCCTAGTATTGTGAAGGTAAGTAGAAAGAAACTGAAGTGACAATAGAACCATGCTCATGCAAATTAGATTAGTTTCATAAGTGTGGTAAAGCTAGTTTGAACGGAGGGACATTTAATTTATTTAGTAATTATTTAATAAATATTAACATACAAATAAGGATAACTTGCTTTTCACGGGTATCATTATAAGTCTCATTTTAAATTGTATGGCAGTTTTAGTTTATATCTTAGTACAAGTTCGAGTTAAATCAATTTCCTATATTTTTAATTGAATAAATACTCGGTAATCAACCATTTATTGATTCTCTTGTATGCAATTGACAATGCCTTGCTAACTAATACGTAATCACAACATTGACTTCCATTTTTACTGATTCTCACTACCACAAACCTCATAACTCGAACTCTAATTCAATGATTAATCTTAAAATATGGATACCTGGCCCAATTAAAATGCTAACTAAGAGGTGATCTGGTTAAACGGAGCTTTCCAATACAAGACGTTTGAAATTGAACAGACAACGCGCAAAAACAGGCTCCACCTCTTAAGCAAGTTCGTCATGTTACTTCATTTCAGTTCTCCAGTGTTCCACAATGGCTTCATAAAGTTCACGCATACAACTCTTGGCTCCTATACTACGCTTCATTCAATAGTCGATCACTGTTGTCACTTGACTATTTGATTCTAATATCTATAAACTAGGGGCGTCTATACAGCTAATATAAATTATGTTCCAAAATCAACGTTATAATCATATTTAAGGTGTATTGAAATACCTGAAAATAAAATCCTTCATGTAACAAAGAGACATCAAAAAATAAACAAAAAAGCCTAAAATTCATTTGCATTACAGTACAAAACTACAGAAAGCGGAATTTAAAACAATAATCTAAAGGTAAAATAGTTTTAAATCACAATATAAACATGATATTACAAAATAATTTTATTTGTTTGGACACATTGCAAACTTTTCAATTAAAAATGTTTTTGTTTAAGCCCTCCACAATCTTCCTCTGATTACTTTTGCGATTGGTTTACTTGAAGGTCCCTTGCTGCATGTTCATTGGTTAATCAACCAGCTGATAGTTCAATTGTATGGTTTGTCGTTATCGCTTCTCATTATACATTTCACTTAACACGCGGTCGGTCATAAAATTCGCTAATGACAAGTGAAGTAAGAAATATTATTTGAATAACTATTGATCTCTTATTAACTCTAATACATTTAATAAATATGGTAACTCAAATATTTGTTATTTACTATACATATATACAAAACAATTTCCTTTGGTTAAGTTAATTGGTCCTAAATTTTTTTTCTTAGATATAAATGTGTTTGTATAATTTACATTTGACATATTTATACGTGAGTTTGTATCTATTTTTTTGTTATTAGAATTAAAAACATGAATCTACATGCAAATTTTGTACAACAATGGTCGAGCAAGTTCCCATGCTCAGTGGATTCCCCCCCTCAACTAGAATGTTTAAAAGCTGACCAGTTCCTTACCGTGAACGATCAGCGAATTGCTTTGGAAGTTGCTCAGTCTGAGGTGTCGGCTTCCATAGATCGTCTTCAGAATACCCTCAACCAACAACTCTTCATATCTGATTATCTTCGTAATTGTATAACGAAATTGAGTGCTGTTTCCAGAGTTTTCAATGAAATTGAAAATGGAGATGAGAATAGTGGAGGCGAAGACTCTCCATCATTAAAATCAGATGATAGACAAACACCTCCACAATGTGATTCCAATAGTATCAAAACTTCTGCATTGAATCTTTCTGTTCCTTCTCCAACGCAGGCACAGTCTCTATCTCTCATTCCCTCGTTTTTCACTTCCACTTCACCACTTCTCACCCCCTCATCACGAAATCTACTCCTCCATTCCAGTCTCAACTCCCAGCATGCAAAATCCGATTCCATGCAGTAAGTTATGAATTGTCTTTTTTTAATATTCTTCTTTAAACTACGCCTATGTTTGATTGAAGTTCCCTCCTTGTGTTACATCATTAGGCCTGTGACATAAAATAGCCAGCGCAAAGCAAACACGTTGAAAAGATTTTTATATTTAATCTTAACATCAAATTTGCTCTGGGAATTTTAGAACACTTTTTCTTTCTTTCGAATTTTTCTTTTATTTGGAAACTTCCAATTAAATGCCAATATTTTAACCAGTTTATTACTACGAAGATCAATTAGGAGAATAGGGATGGAAGGTGTACAAGTAAGGAATATGATAAAGTGCATTGCAATAGCAGCCTTGAGTGTTAATTTATCCCTCAAGAAGCACCCTAAAGATTTCGTCAGGCTGCATAGAAGAGAGAGAGAGAGAGAAAATGGAAAAGAAGTAGGAGGAAGAATGTCAAATAGAGGAAGGAGGAGGAGGAGAAGAGAAGGCAAAGAGAAAGAGAGAAAGAAGAAGATAGCAACTGACCACCCTCAATCCACCCTGGCCGCCAGCTTTCTCTCTCTCTCTCTCTTCTTTTCCGTTCGCTTTTCCCCTTTTCTCTCTCCAGCAAATAAAAAGGAGACATTTCTGTGCGGGTAGGAGAGAAAGTATGAAGAAAAGAATGGCTGGGAGGCGAGAAGGTAGAAAGAAAGGAGGAAAGAAAGAAGGAAAGAAAGGGAGAGGGAAGAAGAATAGGTATCAAAAATAGAAACAAAGGGAGAGGGGGGGGAAGTAGGAGATGGACAAGATTACACATAAACAGAGGGAGGGGAGAGATGACGATAAATACTTTATCCTCTGCCCCACTTTTCATAGTTTGTACACAAATACCTCTTTTCATACCTTCTATAACGAACTTAATTAGTGCAAAATAATCAACAATCAGATCAATTAAAGTCAACCAAAAATCTTTTCCCTAAGTTGCCTAGTTTTTAGCAGTTTGTTAATGCATATTTGTATGCATGACATAGTTGTGAAAACGGTTAAATTTATGTATAGTTTAATATATATATATATATATATATAGTTACCATGCTTACAAGTAAATGGTTTCAAGTAGAGTTCAAAGAGAATATCGTATGTTTGCGATCAAATTTCTTCCCAAGATATTAATGATAATAAACATGGAAATAAATTCGTCTCGATATTAATGTATCAGACTGGAAAAGCTCAAATAAGTTACGAAGTATATTATTACATAACACCTACTTCTTATCAACGCAACACACTTCTCTCTCACTGTGGGGATTTTTTTCGCCAGATAGTCAGGGCCAGGTAGGCAAAGATTTCACTTGTTTATATCACACAACTTTGGCAGTCATTATTTCGACTTAGGTATTTGAACAAGGGAATTTGAAAATACTCTTGGCTGATCGAGGTGATACGAATCTTTCTTCTTCTTTTTTGACTTTTAAATCGAAATCTTTCCTACCTGCGATAATCATCATTCGCCTGATATAGCCTCCTACCTCCCCCCCCCCCCCTCCTTCTCTCCGCCTATTGAGCAAAATGCGCAGCACTCTTATCTTCCAAATCTTTACGATCCTTCCCCCTCCCTTATTTGGCCACCTTTAATTCACTAAGGTCATACTGCATCCACCAGGTCCTAGCCAAATCTTCCAGGTACTTTTCGTCATTCTTCCTTTTAGAGTCTTATCAACGCTCAAGTTAATTATAAAATAGGTTCAAGGCCAGTCCTCTCTTTTTGAGCACATCAAGGTCCGAGGTAGTGACAGGCGATTTTTTGCTTATATTTTTTAATCGCTCTCTGGCGCACTGAAAAGAGGTGGGGGTGGGGGTGGGGGTGGGG